AGTTCTTGAACGGCTTCTGGTTGCTCTTCACTCCAAATGCGGCAATTTTGCTTATTTACGAAGCCATTCAACCAGAAATGAGCCTCATCGCTGAACAAAATTTGTCGATAAAAAAGCGGATTTTCTGCCAACTTTTCTAGGGCCCATTCACTGAAAATTCGACGTTGTGGCAGATCGTTCGGCTTCAGTTCTTGCACGAGCTGTATTTTATACGGTTTTACACCAAGATCTTTGCGTAAAATCTTCCATGTGGTCGAATAACACAAACCCAATTGCTGCGAACGGCGACGAATCGACATTTCACGGTCTTCAGCAACACTCTCAGAAACAGACGCAATATTCTCTTCTGTACGCACTGTACGCATTCGTGTGGTTGGTTTAATGTCCAATAAAGTAAACTGAGTGCGAAACTTGGTCACAATCGCATTAATTGTTTGCTCACTTGGTCGATTATGTAGACCATAAATCGGACGTAAAGCGCGAAACACATTTCGAACCGAACACTGATTTTGGTAATAAAATTCAATGATTTGCAAGCGTTGCTCGTTAGTAAGTCTATTCGTGATGAAATTTCAAAGCATACTGAGCATCTTTCTCTTTGACACCATGTCTGAAATCCCACGTGATCTGTCAAATACTAATGCATGAAAATCCTAACCTCAAAAAAATCACCCGTTACTTCCATATGCACGTAAATATGTATTTACATACTCCAAAATCATTTACTGATAACGTCCTTACATACGAACATATGTATGTGCATATTGCTTCCTATATACTACGCACATGCATGCATACATACATATGTACAAATGTACAACTCAGCACACGTACATATGTACAAATGTACAAATATATATATTAATATATGTACAGAATATGTATGTACATACACACATACGTAATTACGCGCATATTAAAATCCAACAATAATTATTTCATTCAAAAAAGCATGCGCATATTTCTCAAGGCCAAGTAAATTTATTCATAAATGCAACCGCAGCACATCTCCCCGCTAATTCATTACCAGCAAGCGCAGCTTTCTCAATTCGACACAAAAATTCTAAAATCTTAAAATAAAGAAATCTCGGCAAGCCAAGTGAAAAGTGGCAACTATTTCTCTATATCCAGTAAAATAAGTTATCTCGAATTTTAGTAATTTTTTATAATTTTTGGCAAAACACTCTATTTATCTGTTCCATACCAATATTTCAATCGTTAACTAGTATTTTAAGGTGTCACTTTAATAAAAGTTAAATAATAGTGTTCGTTTTCTGCAGGAAAACACATTATTTTTGATGTGTATACAATCTTTGGTTTCGGTAGGGGTAAAATTTGCGATGCTGTAACGCATATCACAAAATTTCGAAGGGCTTAGCATATGTATTTCAGCATAAAATTTTTATTTTCACTAGAAGCACCCTGTATTTTCTTGCTATTGTAAATGGTTGCATACATTTAGGCATATGCATAGTAAGAGGAAATGCGCTACAATTGATTATTACTTCCGATTACTTAAACTCCGCACATGCATACGGCTTTGTACCTATGTATGTACATAAATATGTATGGACTCATTTGTTGCAACGGGCATGAGTCACGTAACTTTGAAACGATAGTCGTTCAAACCATGCTGACAAAACGATGTTGTCAAAACCCGGATTTATGCATTTGTGTTGCTGTTACGTGTTACTGTTACTGTTACGTTAAGCAAAACTGGAATCGAGTTGACGATATCGCACAAACGATCAAACAATTTTTGATTTTTATGAAGCAAGACAATCTCGACACGATATCGTTCAGACGATTGTCGTCATACGTGATTCATGCCCTGGTTTTGATATTCCTAGATGGTTTTAGGCATAGGTTTAGTAGTCTATTTTGATAAAAAAGAAGGCGAAAATTAAAAAAAAATACTGAAATCATTTTAGCTGGGACCGTTGACAACTGATAAACATACATGAATATATGTATGTATAATATGCATATATATGGATGATAAAATAGCTCTGATCCAATACTTTTCGTTTAAAATCCTGGAAAAAGGTCAAACAGCAAAATCACTCTCTGAAGTGAGAGTAAAAAGTGAGTAACAGCAAAACGTACGGAACAAAAAAGCATCAGGTAAAATCCTGCAACTTCAATCTCTACAGAACTCTCCCAAAAATCGCTTTCCTTTACATGAACCGCAGATTATATTCCGAAAAGAAAAACTAAATTTGGGAATACATACAAATAGAAATGCTCTAACTATAAGCTCAAAAACAATAACTGTTCGTTGCAGAGCTGAGTCACTTGTTCCTTACCTCGGGTAACAAATAATTCTCAGTAATGCTTGAACTACAAATGCTCTTATCCTAAAATTCTCTACCCCTTACCACTGGTGGGGGTAAGTAGAGCNCCTGGTTTTGATATTCCTAGATGGTTTTAGGCATAGGTTTAGTAGTCTATTTTGATAAAAAAGAAGGCGAAAATTAAAAAAAAATACTGAAATCATTTTAGCTGGGACCGTTGACAACTGATAAACATACATGAATATATGTATGTATAATATGCATATATATGGATGATAAAATAGCTCTGATCCAATACTTTTCGTTTAAAATCCTGGAAAAAGGTCAAACAGCAAAATCACTCTCTGAAGTGAGAGTAAAAAGTGAGTAACAGCAAAACGTACGGAACAAAAAAGCATCAGGTAAAATCCTGCAACTTCAATCTCTACAGAACTCTCCCAAAAATCGCTTTCCTTTACATGAACCGCAGATTATATTCCGAAAAGAAAAACTAAATTTGGGAATACATACAAATAGAAATGCTCTAACTATAAGCTCAAAAACAATAACTGTTCGTTGCAGAGCTGAGTCACTTGTTCCTTACCTCGGGTAACAAATAATTCTCAGTAATGCTTGAACTACAAATGCTCTTATCCTAAAATTCTCTACCCCTTACCACTGGTGGGGGTAAGTAGAGCCTAATAAAATAAGAGGTTAGTACTTTCAATATTAAAAGTTATACCCCTTACCGCTGGTGGGGGGAAGTAAAACTTTAATAAAGATATAAGAGTAAAGAGTGTTAAATGCTCNTATAATACAATAAAAAGCAATAGAACAATTCAACTTAAAATATATTTGAACTTTTGTAAAGAAGAACAACAACAACATTGTTAATAAAAATTATTGCGCTGTAAGCGAATTCACCTGTACGATATAAGTAAATTTATAAGTATGTAATAAGTAAGCGACTTAGTTAAGTAATTTAGCATAAGTAAAATTGTATAAAAGAGAAATTGCAAAATAAAAATGTTAAGTTCAATTTTGTCATTCAACGGAGGGGGTTAGTGTTATTATTTGTATGTATGTGTATATGTACATGTTGTTTTGGTATGTACTATTTACAAACCAACGCTTTGGTCTTATCATAATTTTAATTTTAATGCTTGCATTTGCGTCGGCTATATGTATATATGTAAATAATATCAATTATTAGACCCTGCAGGAAATGGATGNAACCAACGCTTTGGTCTTATCATAATTTTAATTTTAATGCTTGCATTTGCCTCGGCTATATGTATACATGTAAATAATATCAATGCATTTTCTGATGCATGTATGGGTGTATGCATTTGTATGCGCGAACATTAGACCCTGCAGGAAATGGATGTAACTATAAGCTAACTTTAAGTTGATTAGGAAGGAGCTAAAAGTCACTTATTATCTGTATATATTCTTTGACGAAAGCTAATTATATTTGTATGGCGATGGCCGTGAAATAATCAAGGGTGGTTACTTCTGCATTAGATGTCGTCAAGGGTGGTTACCTCTGCATTTGATGTAACTTGCTTGTAACTAGCTACTTTCGGACATAAAATATCAATAGGAAAAACAAAATATTTTATTTTCATTTACTTTATTTATTTTATTACATTTCATATTTATTTACATATTCTCCTGTAGGTGGGCCAATATTCGAACTCCGTCAGACATAACTTCAAAATGATAATATGAAATTTCGATCATCCTTTTATTTGTCCTCAATTCGAAAAAGTATTTGCAAAGTGTAGGATATTTGAATAGAAATGCGTTTAAAGAAAACAATCTCCTTCATTACTCCTGCATTACTTGTCAACTAGTTTCAAGTTAGCTTTTTGTAGCTAACTACGGGTTGTATATTTAATAGAAATCTCGCAAAAAAGCTAACTACAATTGGGTTATTTTTTATTAATTGATAATTATTTTCTGCTGGGGATTAAAAGAGATCAATGCATTGATATCTTATTTCGGTTGTGTACAAAATATTGACAGTTAAATGTGTTACAATTTATGGGTTTTTGTTCATTTCTAATGTTTATGTATTTTATTGATCTTCTATTCTAAAGTGGACTGTATTTTCTGTATGTCAATAACTATTATTGTACGTATATTTTTTTATGTTCAGTTTTATTACCCTGGCAGATGTATGTATGTACGCATACATGTTCAAAGATGTTTGAACATATTTCCGAGGGCAAGGAATAATTATTTATGGAACGTATACTAAACATGTTCAATTTATTTTACAATTGAACATCTTGCGGGCGGCCAATACTGGTGGGAGATTCAAATTGAATTTTTAAATTGGTTGTTTTCTTCCGCATGAATTTCACGCAAACTACTAATAAAATAATAATAATTACTATACGTAATATTAAAGATGTGTGACCTGTCACGTGATGGAAGTCTAATCCCCTTAACTTCAATCGCTGCTTCTTAAACCCATTTAAGCTATGTTGTACTTCTACCGCTTAGACTTTGCTGATTTTTCAATTTTTCCTAATAAACAATCGTGGTACAAAGCTCAATAAAAATATTAAAAATAAAAAATGTTAACAAGCCACAGTAACATTGACAAATACGTGAGGATTTCTTGTTGATGATTGATTGTTGACGAATGGAAAGTCTTAATCTTTTCATCTTCTATGACATCAATGGTTGTTATCCAAGTTGTTTGTGGGTCGAAGTGTGCTTCAGATGACGTGATGGATGAAGATGTTAAAAACCCTCCGTTGTATCTCAAGCTGCACCCAGGATTTAAGGTAAGAATTCCCTGAGGTGACAAACTTATCCACTTTGCAGCTGATTGACCACAGTTCACGCTCTCACTGTGTTGTAAAGCTTAAAAATCCAGGTATTGGGCTTATGCAATTCAACCCAAAAATCGTCGTTTTGGATTTGTTGGAACATGCAGTTGGCAGCCTTCGTGTGTTTGATAGCAGATACTTCGCACGAGTTATCGGTAGCTGAGGTCCAAGGCCAATCTCCGTAGCAAATGTAATGGTTGCTATTGGTTTTACGACATTTGTTGCGCTTGACTTAATAAAAAATATCAATCAAATTCGAAATTGGAAATTAGTAACTCTGATTTAAGCTTAGCTACTACAGTCATATTTCGTTTGCTTATCGGTATTGCGATTAATCTGAAGACTTCTGACATTTGGGATTGTAGTAAAGGTATTTCTGCGTTAAATACTAACTTGTTGTCTGCAATCATTCCCTTCGCAGTCATAGTCTTAAAGACTTCTTTAAGTTCATTGTCCCCTTCGCCGGGTAATTTCAATTTTGATGGCAACTTGAACTTTGTCTTTTGAATTTCTTTAACAAGCTGAGACGGTTTGATTAGGGAAGGATTTATTCGCTGGTGAAAAACATCAGTGAGCATATTTAATATTGCTGTCTGTGTGTTTTCACACTCATTTAATATCGATTGTAACTGCATGGTGATTAACTGAAATGACGTTGAGAATCTATAGTTGTTGAGGTAATTTGCTGTTAAATTTTGGATGTTGTTTATTTGATTGTCGATTTTAGTAAATTGATTATTGACATCTGTTGTAGTTTTTCTGAGGACGTTGAGTGTACCGTCGATTAATGAGGTTTGCTTTTTAATCATGCTTTCAACGTCATTTTGGTTTTCAAATAAGTTTTTCATATTTAGCTCCATTATTTCTCTATCATCACTGTCCATTAATCCAAAGAGTAAGTCATAAAGCGAGCCTATGATTTCTAACGGCGCTCTTTTGGCTCTTTTTGTGTACATAAGAACCTGGTTGTTCGATTTTAGTAGTTCATTTTTACTATTTATATTTTTTGCTACTATTTCACATTGTTCGCTAAAGTAACCAATTTTTGGACATAAGTCCTTTATTTGCTTTAAGTAAATTGGCATGCTTTCAATTTCTTTGAAATAAGATTCGAGATTGTAGTATATTATCAAGTTCCAACGAGAAGCTACTACATTTACTCTGCCATAAGAGTCCAAGTATACGGCTGAACTAATTGAAATGCTCGTTTGTGTGATGAAATTTGTACTTGCTGTTGCTTCTCCTTTTATATTAAGTAGTTTTACAATAAGTACCTAAAATACTAGCAACATTTCAGCTACTGACCAGTTAGGTCTTGTTAAATTATTATTGCAAGATTTTGTGAAAGTATAGTTCGATTTCACTTTTTCATTTTGAGTACCCTATACAATGTAATGGACACAGCTTTTGTATTGATCGTTTAATAGTTCCATCACTTGTTTTTATTGTAGCTACGCGGACTTTATCATCTGTACCTTTGTGTACATGTGTTACTTTACCCAAAGGCCATCTTGATGGGGACGTGTTTTCATTTTTTATTATTACTATTTGGCCTTCTTTTATGTGTAAATGGTCGACTTTTCATTTATTTCGCTTTTGCGATGTTACAAGATATTCATCTTTCCATTTATTCCAAAAGTCTATCTTCAATTTCTGAATGATTTTCCAACGGTCTAAAGCTCCGACCTTTTCCACATCTCGCGCAACTTCTGGAATATCCAAAAGCGGTCTGCCAATAAGGAAATGCCCAGGCGTAAGAACGTTGTTGTCTTCTATTTCAGATCCCAGCGTATACAACGGTCGTGAATTAAGTACCGATTCTATTTGGCATAACAACGTTGACATTTCTTTGAAGATCAATTTGGTTTCACCAATCACTCTTCTTAGGTGGTGTTTTACGGAATTTACACCTGCTTCCCAAATACCTCCGAAGTGAGGACTTGCCGGTGGGATAAAATGCCATTCAATCTTTTCATTTGCTTATATCGGGGCTACAGAACAGTTGTTTTTAAGAGCGTTTTTAAATTGAGATTCTATACTTCGATTTGCTCCTATGAAATTCGTTCCATTGTCGGAATGTATGTGATAGCTTTTCCTCTTCTTCTGCCATACACACAAATATTGCAATTTAGCCTTTATATGTTTTAATAGCTCTATATTTGGAGCACTTAATAAGTAATGGCTCAGCGTAGTCAACACCTGTATGTGTATAAGGTGAAGACTGCGTAACTCTCATCTCAGGTAGGTTTCCCATTATTTGATGAGCAGCTTCTTGTCGATATCTAATGCATTTCACGCAATTTCGAAGACATTTTTTAATTTCTTTTTTTAGATTTATTACCCAGTACTTTCTTCTTACC